AGTTACGTATTTCTTAGATTTAAGTAGAATTAGAGTATAACAGGATTTAGAACATGTAAAGACAAGGAGATGCAATTAAAAGTAGTGAAAATTGTTGTTTCCGGGAATAGAGTAGGAAGGTGCAGAAGGATACAGATAAAATCCCACTTTTTTTTTTTTTTTTTGGTCTAAACCTCTTGAAACTGTTTTCTTTTTCAAGCTAAGTTACGTATTTCTTAGATTTAAGTAGAATCACTTTAAAAACAAGGGAGCCTGACTTGTAGGCCCTCCGTAGTTCATCACGAAATAGACTTGGACATTTGTGACGTGTGTATGTAGGGGAGGTATGTAGGGGGATGTTTTTAGGAGTGGTACCTAAAAGTGGGTAAGCAAAGGAAGCAGGGTAGGGCAGGGGGAGAAGTAGACTGGTACGTGCTGTGAGAGAAGTGCGTGTAAAGATGTGGAAGAGAGAAAGGATTCTTTTGAAGTGATCTGAACAGTGGAGTTAGTCGGTGGAGTCTGAACAAGCTATGAAGAAAGGGGCATGGAGATGAGGTTCTGGGGATCTGGGAGAGAGCAGAAAAGTTTATCACAGAGAAAAGGAAAAGGAGAGAATTGGAAACAATTAGAAAATGTTTGTCCTTCTTGTGCGAAACATTAGTGCATCAGTGACAGGAATTCAGTGTAAAATTTGGGTCCCCATACTTCCAAAATACTCAGAAGATGAAAAGTTACAGAAATTTGCAACAAAGTTGATAATGAGGTTGGAGGAACTTGCCTATGATACTTAATTTCCTATAGGTGGATTCCACTACAAATGTTTAAAATCATGAGTTAATAATGTTTCTTGTAAGCAAAATCACAATCGTAAAAACACATGAGTTACCTTTGAGAGGTATCAGAGAGCAAGTTTATTTTGAAAACTGGTAAGTAAAGGAAAAAAATCCAACACTTATCTTGTGCTCCTGTGCAAACTCTGTATCAGATAACTGATAAGGAGTCGTTTCTCTGTGGAAATATTCCAGCTAATAAATTAAGCTGGGATGACAGAATTCAAGTATCAGTATAGTTCAGTTCAGTCACTAAGTCATGACTGACTCTTTGCAGTCAAATGGACTGCAGCACGCCAGGCTTCCCTGTCCATCTCCCTGTCCAACTCCTGAAACTTACTCAAACTCATATCATTCAAGTCGGTGTTGCCATCCAACCACTTCATCCTCAGTTATCCCCTTCTCCTCCTTTCTTCAATCTTTCCCAGCATCAGGGTCTTTTCGAGTCAGTTCTTCATATCAGGTGGACAGAGTATTGGAGTTTCCAGCTTCAGTATCAGTCCCTCCAATGAATATTCATGGACTGATTTCCTTTAGGTTTGACTGGTTGGATCTCCTTGCAGTCTAAGGGACTCTCAAGTCTTCTCCAAACCACAGTTCAAAAGCATCAGTTCTTCAGCCCTCAGCTTCAATTCCCACATCCATACATGACCCTGGAAAAACCA